ACGGCAGCGGCGGTCAGGGTACCATCATCCCGGAGCACAGGTGCCTGGCCAGCCTTCCCTCGGGGCCGCGGGCACGCGGGCCGGCGACTCACCTGGGCCCCGCCCACCGTTCCATGCAGCCGCAGCAGGCACACGAGCCCGGGCAAATGCGGGGCGGAGCGGACCGGAGGCTGCACCGGAGTGACTGTGGATCCCGTGCGCGGTTGCAGCAGCCCGGAGACGCTCTCCAGCAGCAGCAGGCGAAGCCGCGGGCCGGAGCCCATGGCCGACAGACCCCCGGCACCGCCGGGGACCCCAGCCGGGGAGGCCGCCGACGGCCCACTGAGAACGGCAGCCGCCATCTTTCCGGGCTCTAGGTTGGTGGCGTGGCGCGATGACGTCAACACCTCGCGACGAACGCCTGCTGAGGAAGAGGGGCGGTGTGAGGAAGGGGCTGCCGCGCTCCTGCGCACTGCGGCCCGGCGGCGGGCTCCCCGTGCAGGCCGCGTCGGAGCATGCGCCTGGCGGAGGGTCCGGGCGGGCCGGGCGCCGGTGTTGTGGTCCCCCGGGTGTGTGGGGCAGCTCTGGGGGGCGTGGTGCCGACAAAAGGCGCCAAAGTCCGAATAGACTCGACTCTGGCTCTCTAGGGACTCCGTCATCTGCTTCTGAGGAGCTAACCTCCTTTCCTGAGACCTCGGAATTTTAGCTTTTTTTTTAAAGGGTAGATTTACAGAGAAGAAATACAGAGAAAGAGCTTTCTGTCTGCTGGTTCACTCCTTAAATGACCGCAGTTGCTGGAGCTCTGCTCTTCCGTAATGGATGCTCAACTTCCCATGCAGCTCCCTGCTTGAGGCCTGGGAAAGCAGTCAAGGACGGCCCAAAGCCTTGGGAATCCTGCACCCGCATGGGAGATCTGGAAGAAGCTCCAGGCTCCTGTGTTCAGATCGGCTCAGCTCTGTCATTGCGGCCATTTGGGGAGTGAACCAGCAAATGGAAGATGTATCTATCTGTCCTCTGCATAATATCTGATTTGCCTTTCCAATTAAAACAAAAGGTACATTTATATGATTTTATTTTTTTAAGATTTGTTTTTATTTTTATTACAAAGTCAGGTATGCAGTGAGGAAGATCTTGCTTCAGATGATTCAATTCCCACGTGGCTGCAATGGTCAGTGCTCCGATCTGAAGCTAGGATCCAGGAACGTCCTCCAGGTCCCCACATGGATGCACGCTCCCAAGGCTTTGGGCCGTCCAGGACTGCTTTCCCAGGCCACAAGCAGGGAGCTGGATGGGACGTGGGGCTGCCAGGAGTAGAACCGGTGCCCATATGGGATTCCAGCATGTTCAAGGCAAGGAGTTTAGCTGCTAGACTACTGTGCCAGGCCCTATATGATTCATTTTTTTTTAAGATTTATTCATTTTTGTTGGAAAGGCAGATTTAGAGACATACGGATCTTCCATTCCCTGTTTCACTCCCCAAGTGGTTGCAATGGTCAGAACTGAGTTGACACAAAGCCTGGAGCCAGGAGTTTCTTCCGGGTCTCCCATGTGGGTGCAAGGTCCCAAGGCTTTTGAACCATTCTCCACTACTTTCCCAAGCTACAGGCAGGGAGCTGGATGGGAAGTGGAGCACCAGGACACGAACTGGTATCTGTATGGAATCCCAGTGCATGTAAGACAAGGATTTAGCCATGAGACTATTGCACCAGGCTCAAGATTTATTTTTTGTTTATTTGAAAGGCAGAGTTACAGAAAGAGAATCTTCCATCCACCGATTCACTTCCCAAATCGACACAACAGCCAAGACTGAGACAGGCTGAATCCAAGAGCCAGGAATTTCATCTGAGTCTCTCAAGTGAGAGCATGGCTCCAAACACTAAGGTAAGCTTCTGCTACCTTCCCAGGAACATAAGCAAGGAGCTGGATTAGAAGTGGAGCAGCCTGGACTGGTACCAGCCCGTACATGGGATGCCAGAGCTGCAGGTGGAGGTGCATCCCATTACATATACTACTGTTCCTTGTATTTCTTTTCAGTTAGTTTAGCTTTCATGTCTCCCACCCATTCTCTTACTCTGTTGATTGCCCTGATCTTATTAAATTTAGGAACACTTTGTAATATGAGAAATTGTTTTTATCTACTACGTTACAAAATTTTTATTTTTAACCAACTCACCCTTTTACATGAATTTTTGAAAAATCTCAGTCTTTTTGAAGAAAGTTCTGTGATTCAAGGTGCAGTCTTTGGGTTTAAATGACAGTTTCACCTGCTGCTAGGTTCTCCATCTGGGAGATAGCTACAGAATGTTCATGCAGGGGTTAGAGAGGACTAAATGAATTGATATCTCAGGCCAGTGTTGCAGCACAGTGCATTAAGCTTGCATCGTACAGCAGAATGTCAGTTCAAATCTCAGCTGCTCCACTTCCAATCCAGCTCCCTGCTAATATGCCAGAGAAAACAGCAGAAGATGGCCCAAACGCTTGGGGCCCTACCACCCACATGGGAGACCAGGATGGAATTCCTGGTTCTTGGCGTCAGCCTTAACTAGCTCCAGCCATTGCAGCCATTTAGGGCATGAATCAGTGAGTGGAAGATCTCTCTTTCTCTCTGTCTGTGTGTCCGTGTGTCACTCTGCCTCTCAAATAAACAACAAATCTTTTGAATAAAGAGTTGATGATTGTAAAATGCTTGGAACAACATTAGACATATGGAAAATACAGTGAAGTCTAAGCTGTCTAATATCTTGGGAAGTTTCCCAGCCCCCAAAATTACCACCCCCCAAAAAGTCTTCTATATTTTTTCTGCTACTTCTATAGCTTTTTATATGTGTGTGGATCTTTAATCCACCTGGACATGATTTAAGATGTGACATGTCCTCCTCCAGTGGCCAGCCGGCTGTCCCACCCCTTCTCTGTGACTGTGTCCAACATTCCACTCCTTTTCAGGGCTTGACTCATCTCACCCACTGTACCAGGAGCACAGTGTTTATTGCTGAAGCACAATAGATAAGAAAAAATGCAAGCTTGACTTTGTTCAGAATTGTTCTGGCTATACTTGAAAACTGATTCTTTGAATTATGGTTGGAACCAAGTTTTCCTTAAAGCCCTGTTGACATTTTTTTACACAGTATTAAGTTTATGGATAATTTGGGGAGAAATAACATTTTTACTATGAGATTTTTGTTCACATACAAAATATGATGTATCTTATCCTTTCTTATATTTTATATGTATTTGCTCGTTTTTAAAAAGATTTATTTACTTGAAGAATTATAGGGGACAGGGGTGGACAGAAAGAAAGATCTTCCATCTGCTGGTTCATTCCCCAAATGACCACAAAAGCAGGGGACAGCCAGGAGCCAGGGGGCTTCTTGCAGATCTCTCACTTGAGTACACAGGCCCACGTGCTTGGGCCATCCTCTGCTGCTTTCCCAGGTGCAGGGAGCTGAATGGGAAGTGGAGCAGCTGAGACTTGAGCCAGTGCTGACATGGGATGCCAGCACTGCAAGCAGTGGTTTAACTTGCCTTGCCACAGCATCAGGCACATCATTTTCTCATTTATTGAAAAGGCAGAACAAAGAGAAAAGACAGCAAAGATGAAAAAAACCTCTGCTCTCCACTGGTTTACTCCCCCAGTGTCCACCATCTGGAACTGGCCAGGCCAAAAATAGGGGCCAGGAGCCAGGCCCTCCACCCACGAGGGAAAGAGCAGTGGGGCCATGGCCACTACTTCTCAGTCACATTAGCAGGAAGGTAGATCAGAAGCAGAGGCAACAGCAGATCCCCGCACTCAGATGTGGATGTCCCAAGTGGTGCCTGAACCTGCTGCCCTGCAGTGCCAGCCCCTTTGGCCACCTTCAAAATCTTTCTACAATTGTGTTTGTAGCAGTGTTTTAATATAGATGTCATGTCACGCAGGCTACAGTTCCTTTCAGTCCCAAAGCACTTTGCATACAGATCTTGTCAACATTCTGGCCAGAAGGCTTTGGTCAGGGCTCAGTGTGGAATCTACGCAATTCATAAGTATAAGAGAAAGGCAAGGTCGAAAGCTTGAGAATCCCGAGCCGGGAGCTTGGACGGTGGTGAGAGAACTGAGGGAGAACGTCAGTGCTCATGCGATCAAGGCCTATATCTGACCCCTAAAGATGATCTCAAGAAACTGTCTCGCCGCTACAGACACTTCAGAACAAGGCTGTGTCTGCCTTGCTTCTCTCCTCCTTCTGCCCATTCTGCAGGACGACTGTCCTCAAATTTCCCTTCCCCTGGACAGCTTGCACTCGCTCCACCCCCGCGCTGGCCAAGCGCAGTTAGCCGACTTGTCTTCTGAGTCACACCTCTATTATAGCATTCCTGAGTTCCTAATACCTGCTCATGCGTTCCCAGGCTGTACCAGGATGTTAGGGGCTGTGATCACTCATGCGTGTCCCCATGGCATTGGTCTGGTGACTAGCAGCAAATAGGGGCAGGTGGGTGGATGGATGGATGGATGGATGTTAGCTGGACCCGTGGGTGGATATTAAGACAAATTACACACCCTGCAAAAACCCCAAGGTGGACAGCAGGGGGCGTCGAGACAGCACAACAAAGCGGGAGGGAGGCCCAGAGGGCCGCAAACTGTGGGGTGAGCCGGCGAGCAGCGAGCCCCGCCACGGAAGCACCCCCGACCCTCCTGCCCAGACGGCGGGCGCCGAATCCACCGCCCCCGCCATCCCCGACACCACCCGAGAACGCAAACAAAGGGGAGGGGAGCCCTACAGGCTGCTGGACCCCGGGAGCCAATCAAAGCGCTTTATCCCCTGGGGGCGGGCTTCTTGTTTGACGGGCCCAATCAGCTCCTAAGGCTCTGCGGCAGCGCGGGGGAGGTGGGCGGGGACAGCAGGAGTGGGGGACCGCGGCGCGCGCAGGGAGGAGCGTTCCCCGGGGCCGGGGACGCGGAGCGGCGGAAGGTGGAAGCGGAGCCAATCACAGCGCGTGCCTCGGCGGAGAGGGCGGGGGGAGGGCGCGCGTGCGCAGTGGCGCGGGGAGGAGCAGGACCTGGCAGCGGGCGCCGAGGCTGCGAGCGAGCCGCGGACCGGGCGGCCGCGCGCACCATGGGGGAGAAGCCGGGCACCAGGTAAGGGAGGTGGGGCCGAACGGCGGGGTCTGGGTTTGGGCACACGGGTGTGGGGGGCTCCTGCGACTCAGAGGACTGCTGCAGAGAGGATCTCCGCCACAAGGACACCGGGGAGAGAAGCTGGGGGCCGGACGCCTGGGTCCCAAGGGGGCAGCCATCGGGAACCCCACGTCTGGGTCCTCGAGGAAAACGAGGCGGGGTGGGGGATGCATGCATGGGCCCTTGCAGAGAGCAAGGCCTGAGGGGAGCAGCAGACAGGCTTCGGGGTTCTCCCAGGGATGGAGGGGTTCGGATACCCAGGTTCTCCCGTGCAGGCTGCAGTGTAGGAGGCAGCAGGAGCAGGTGGCCGAGTGGTCCCGAGGGTCCTGTTGGGAGAGGCTTGGTGCTGGCAAAAGGGAGCTCTCCTGCTTCCCTTTTAGATTAGCGCACAATCCCTGGGAATCCCGTCCCATACCCTTGCAGGCATAGGCGATCGGGCTGCCTCCACCTGTCCCGAGGAGAACCGAAACTTCTGCCAGCCCCTAGGTTGCCCGGAGCAGCAAATAAGTAGCGACCCTCTACCCACCTGGGCTGCATCTCTCCTGGGGGGGTGCTGAGGGTGTGAGGGAAGTATCTGCCGAGAGCCACGCATCCACTCCCCGGATGTTTTCTGTGCAATCTCCTTCCTTCCACTGATACCCCAAGTTCTTTTTTTTTTTTTGGTCTCTAGCAAAATCCACTTCCTGTTGTGACCCAATACCTCCTAGGGGTGCCACTGGGGGTGGCTGAGCAAGGAGTGAATACCTGGGTCCCAGGGGAGCAGGAGCCACAGAAAAGCTAAGGCTCAGACAGCCCCTCTCCATCAAGAGCTCCCTCCACCTCCCCACCATGCTCGGGTCTCTGAACCCCAAACACTAAGTCAGGGAACCCAGGGAGCCACGGAGCATCCGAGGGAAGGGAGATGGGTGTCCTGGATCAGGGGTCACACACCTCCAGAGAAAGGGGAAGTCATGGGCTTGGAGGAGGCCCCCGATTTCCGCTATGTGGTTGGGAGGGGGGATGGACAGGCCAAAGACGGACTGCTGACTTAGCACAATTCCCTCCACCACCACCACCACCACCACCACCACCACCCACTCCACCACCCCCGCCCCCATCAAATTGTGGCCCTCAGGAAACGGAGAGAATAGGAGGAAGTGCGAAGGGGCATCTGCTTGGGCTGCCCCCATCACCCTGCACGGGGCACCTCCCCGGTCATTCCCACGCTAGCTCCCTGGGCGGCCCCAAGCACAAGCACATGGCTCCTCCCAGCCCCACAGCGGGTCAGGATCCAAAGGGCAGGTACTCTGAGGTGGCTCCGCGTCACTGCCCTGGAGTCACACTCTACTGGGCAGCCCTGGGGGCTGCAGGCCCAGCCCTTTGCCAGGGCTCCAAGTGGGTGGAGGCACTGGAATGAGGAGGAAGACCAGAAGCAAAGATGGATGGGATGGAGAGGTGGGGAGGGCTATATCAGAGCTCCCCCCTCCTGAGGGGCCACCTTATAGCCGGGGGACCTCTGACCTCAGACAGCTTGGATGGGGAAGGAGGGATGAGCCGAGTTGTTCTGGCAGCAACTGGGGTGCTGGATTTGGAGGAGGGAAGGGCCAGGCAGCCGACTCTCAGTCTACTGTCTAGATGGGCCCCTTTCCAGCGGGCAGCTGAGGCCAAGTGGATGGGAATGAGTGAGGTACTGCTTCGAAGAACAGCCCCACACATGGCCAGAACTCTGCCCTCTTCTCCCAGAGAGAGGTGGGGGTTTAGGTTATTTGAGCAACTGTGAAGAAACCGCCCCCCCTTGGTGGGACAGACTGCTAATGGATGCTCCTGACACTTGTGGCAGGTGTGACAGCACGGCCCTGAAGAACTCTTGGGCTCCAGGCCAGACTGCCTCGGCTAGTACCCAAGCTTCCCGTTCCCTCTGCCTATGACCTTGGACATAGTAGCTGACCACTCCCTGCCTCAGTTTCCTCCCCTGAGAGATGGAGTGCTTAGCACCCCCACACCCCGACAAGCTGTTGACTGCTAAATGAGGTGGTGCAACTGAAACAGTGGCTGCTAGGCTTTGGGGGGCCAGAAGGGGGTGCCCCTGAGGTCTCCCAGGGTGAAGAGGAGGGAGGCAGGAGGCACAGCTCACAGCTCTGGGTGCTCTCACAGCACCAGCGCAACATAAATAAGATGTGACAGGAACCCAGAAAGAGGAGGGCCCAGAGCCTGGATGGCAGCTTCCAAGCTGGGCCCCGCAAGACACATACTAGGATTAGAAGCTGTGGCATGGAAAGAGTCCGTAGTTAAGGATCAGACCTGGATAGTGACCCTGGGAGACAAAGGCCACAGCTGGTCGTTGGTTGCATTTGGCACTTGCTAAGTGATCCCTGGAGCTGGAGCCCAGGTGGAAGGGCCCCTGGGAAATCTGGTGGTTCCTAGAAGCAGCCAGGAGCCATCCCTGGGCAGGGACTGGGGAAAGAAAGATGGGACAAGAGGAAGGGCACTGGCTCTGGCAAACAGCTCCAAGGAACCACCATGTGTGCACCATGGAGGTAGCGGGAGCGGGGCTGAGGCCTACAGGGGAAGGGTGCGGATCCCTGCTAAAACTGAAGGAGGCAATGGGATTTCCCTTTCTGTTTTATTAGGGTCTTCAAGAAGTCCAGCCCTAACTGCAAGGTGAGTCTCCCATGGTACTTACCCCTTTGACCTCCCCTGTTATCCCCCCACCTGATGTGGGATCAAGTCTGCCCCTGGACCATCCCCAACCTTAGCACCCCACTTCTTGGGACAGCTTCCAGATAAGCTGAGGACTTCCTGCCGGCCCGAAGCCCTTGCCTGGCCGCAGTTGCCAGAGCCCACTGGCCACCACCATGGGGCTACGAGGGATTGCATGGGGTCTGGATCCCTAAGCTAGCCCCAGGGGAAAAGCCCGGAAGTGACAGGCCTCACAGGAGCCAACCTAGGATGCCTGGGCAAGGTTAACAGCCTGCCCTAGGCACTGGGCTGTTTATCCCAGGGTCCCTGGGGAATCCCAGGGGGCTGGCTGGGCTGAGTCCTCCCTGAGGACAAACACACACACACACACACACACACACACACACACACACACACACACACGATGGTAGGCAGGCATAATGAGAGGTTAGGGAGCTGCTATGTAAAAGCAGTCCCACATACATACCCTGCCTGGCACACCACTGGGAGCCTGGGGCAAGGGGACAGGGCAGCCACTGGGGGAAGGGCAGCTCTGACAGGCTGCCACTGTCCTCCCTGATCTTCCCTGTGACCCCTTGACCCCCCTCAGCTCACCGTGTACTTGGGCAAGCGGGACTTTGTGGATCACCTGGACAAAGTGGACCCTGTAGGTGAGTCTGCCCAGATAGGAAGGGCAGGTGGGTGGGCTCCAGACAGCCTGGGGCAGGGCAGGGCTGGAGTGGGTGAGAGCTGCAGCCCGTGTGTCCCTTCCCAGATGGTGTGGTACTGGTGGACCCTGACTACTTGAAGGACCGCAAAGGTACTGCCCTCCCCCAAAGTCCAGGGTCCCCCAGGGAAGTGAGGTGGTGAAGCAGGCTGCCATTGGAAGTGGGGGAAACTGAGGCAGAAGCTAAGATTCTTGTGATGTTCCTAGGGACTGAGGAAGTTGCCAGGCACTGCTGGGAATGGTGGGGCTAAGGGTGGACTGAGGCCCCTGACCAACCTCACCATGCCCCTCCTTGCCAGTGTTTGTGACTCTCACCTGCGCCTTTCGCTATGGCCGGGAAGACCTGGACGTGCTGGGCCTGTCCTTCCGCAAAGACCTGTTCATCGCCACCTATCAGGCCTTCCCCCCAATGCCCAACCCGCCCCGGCCCCCCACCCGCCTGCAGGACCGGCTGCTGAGGAAGCTGGGCCAGCACGCACACCCCTTTTTCTTCACGGTGAGGATGCCTCCTCCTCCCCCCACCTGGACAGGGCAAAGGATCTGGGAGTGGGGCATTGAGGGGACAGATCCCCAAGACACAGGCAGAGACCCCAGCCCCACTCCTGTTGGGGTCACCCTGTAGCCCAGAAGCCCTGAACTTGGCTTCCTCACCAGGGTCCCTTCCTTCCTTTCTCATCCCTGGGGGACCTCTCTAGAGCTTCTGAAGGTGAAAGTGGGAGGAAGATGGAGCCCTCCCTGGAGAGACTAAAACCGCTTCCTCTCCCCTGTGGCAGATACCCCAGAACCTACCCTGCTCCGTAACACTGCAGCCGGGACCGGAAGACACAGGGAAGGTACAGAATGAGGGGGCCTGGTGGGAGGAGATGGGGGAAGAAGGTGGTAGCAGGCCACAGCTGAGCTGGAGGGGAACTGGGGCTGAGGCTAAGGCTGTGTTCGCTGCGGGAGGGTGGGGACCGTGGGGTTTGGTCTCTGCCCCCTACCCTCTTGGCCTGCATGTGACCAAGCATCTGTCAGGTGCCAGGCCCCTGGGAAGCAGAGCAGAAAGACCTAGACCCTGGCATTCCTCAGATCTGCCTGGGAGGAAGGAGGAAGAGAAGTGTGTGGAGGGGAAGGGTGACAGTAGTCTGGGTCAGAGGCCACCTCTCCCCTCCCAGGCCTGCGGGGTAGACTTCGAGATTCGAGCCTTCTGTGCCAAATCGTTAGAAGAGAAAAGCCACAAAAGGTGAGGGAAGCCAGCCGCCTCCTGCACAGCTGGGCTGCTCCTGCCCTGCACCCTGCAGCCCCCCCCCCCCAGCTCCTGTGGGAGGTGGGGGCTAGCAGCTTCTGCTTGATGAGACTCACCCCTTCCTCCCCCCACCCCCAGGAACTCGGTGCGCCTGGTAATCCGCAAGGTGCAGTTTGCCCCCGAGAAGCCCGGCCCCCAGCCGTCAGCCGAAACCACACGCCACTTCCTCATGTCTGACCGGTCCCTGCACCTTGAGGCTTCCCTGGACAAGGAGGTGAGGTGTGAGAGGGTGACGCAGGTGCCACAGGGCAGGTTGGGGCCTGAGAGGGCTGAGGGGGGTGCTGGATTAGCTCATGGAGAGGATGCTTTCCAAGGAGGTGGCCCCAGCTACTGGGGGCAGGGTGTCCATGTGACCTTAACATTGGAGGAGGGGCTTCACGGTACCCCTCTCTTCCAAAGCTGTACTACCACGGGGAGCCCCTCAATGTCAACGTCCATGTCACCAACAACTCTACCAAGACCGTCAAGAAGATCAAAGTCTCTGGTAGGAGGTGGGGGCTGGAAGGGGTCCTTGGGGGAGGCGGGTGTCGCTGCCTCAAGTGTGCCCGATCCTGCCCAGGCCACATCCCAGGGTGAGGGATCCCTGCCTTGGGGTGCATGGGGTGCAGGCTGCCACAGGTTGGCCTTGGTCTTCCTGCTACCAGGAGGAGGGGTGGTGGCAGAGCTCTGAGCCTGATCTCGCCTGTCCCACAGTGAGACAGTACGCCGACATCTGCCTCTTCAGCACTGCCCAGTACAAGTGTCCCGTGGCCCAGCTCGAACAGGAGTGAGTACCTCCCTGGGTCCTACCCTCAGGGCAGAAGCAGGGACTGGGTGAGTGTGGAGAGATGGGGCTCCTCCCTGCACAACCAGGCAGCTCGGGCCCCTCCCCTTCCTGGGCAAGTGGAGCCTAAACTTCCTCCAGGACCTGTGCCCAGAGGAGGGAGATGCTGCTAGGGTTGGGGGTACAGGAAGCTGGCCTTGACTACCCCATGCTCCAGGCCCCTGTAAGACTGTTCTGTGCCTGCCCTGCTCCCAGCGACCAGGTGTCCCCCAGTTCCACGTTCTGCAAGGTGTACACCATCACCCCACTGCTCAGTGACAACCGGGAGAAGCGTGGCCTTGCCCTGGACGGCAAGCTCAAGCACGAGGATACCAACTTGGCATCCAGTACCATGTGAGTGTGGGACGCACCATTCTGCTGGCAGGGGGGCAGTTCTACCAGCGATACCAGCCAGGTGCCAAGGGTGGGAGAGACCCACAAATTCTCTTGACCTAAGGGAAGGCATGCTATACTACGGAACAGGGTTAGTGACAAGCGTTGAGGAGAAGCAGCAAGAAAGGGGATTGGAGGGAGCTCTCGTCTGGACCCAGAAGGCCTCCTAGTGTGGGCCCAGAGGCAGCAAGTGACACACATGTGCAGGGAAGGGAACCTGTCAGGACTGAAGCCTCACACAGGGCAGAACGGGGCAGGCAAATGGAGAACTGTGAGGGCTGCTGGGCCCATGGGCAGTGGGCAGCCTGAGTCCCCTGCACCACTCAGGGCTGTAGGCAAGCCCCCCTGGCACTGTTGTCTGAACTGCCCAAAGCACACAACCACAGACTCCAGGGCTGGAGGGCAGCAGCGAGTGACAGAGATGCAAGGAGAGGAGCAAGAGGCAAGCTTGGTGCCTGATGGAGAGCAGGACATATAGGGCTGGCTGTCTTTTCACTGCACGTGAGAGACAGAAAGAGAGAAGCCATAGGAGGGGACGAGCGGGGGATCCTGTGTGATCTTCCCCATGGTTAGTACAAGTTTGTTGTCCTGCTCAAATTCCTGGTGGGGGCCTGGAGGGAGGGCCCATGACCTGACTCTCTCCCCTCTCCATCTGCAGTGTGAAGGAAGGAGCCAACAAGGAGGTGTTGGGCATCCTGGTGTCCTACAGGGTCAAAGTGAAGCTGGTGGTGTCTCGAGGCGGGTGAGTGTGACGGGGGAGCCCGGGCAGGGCGGCGTCGCCATTTACCTGTATCATTGTCGTCATCACGGTCATCATGCTGTCCATGCCACCTCTCCCCTGCCCAGGGACGTCTCCGTGGAGCTGCCTTTTGTCCTTATGCACCCCAAACCCCATGACCACATCACCCTGCCCAGACCCCAGTCAGGTGAGCACACCCTCTCTGCCCCTCCCGCACCAGCCCCAGGGCCCCCCTCCCCCCAGTGGAAGGCCTGAAGCTGGACTGGTGGAAAAGAGTGGGTCCTCCCTGAAGCCCCCTCCCACCCACACGCCTACCCCCTCTCCTGCTCCCCTTAGCGGTTCCCGAGACAGATGTCCCTGTGGACACCAACCTCATCGAATTTGACACCAAGTAAGGAACTCGTCTCCCTGCCTTTTCCCATTGTCTGTCTCTGGACGGTCATTCCTAACACCCAAGCCTCCTCCTGGCTTTGGGGTTTGTTCATCATCTTCCCCCCCCCCCCCCGGGGTTGGGCTAGGGTGAGATTTGAAGTGGCAGTTTGAGAAGCCCAAACCCGTCAGGCCCCTGTCTGTCCCTTCCCACAAAGCCCTCTGGTCCCATGAGCACTGTGAGGCCTCTGGGTGCTGAATGGAGAGGGTCCGGGCTCTCACCCCACACCTTCCTGTTTCCCACCAAGCTATGCCACCGACGACGACATTGTGTTCGAGGACTTTGCCCGCCTGCGGCTGAAAGGGATGAAGGATGATGACTACGATGATCAGTTCTGCTAGGAAGAAGGGTGGGAGGGCTGGACCAAGACCCTCCCCACCACTGTAGCTGGGGGCAGGGCTGGCCTGGGCTCTCTTCCCTTCCCCTCCATCTGGCACATTCCTCCACCACCCTGCCCCACAACCCCCTCCCCCGAGATACGTACTGGACCCATCTCCGGTTCAACGTGGGCATTAATTTCTTATGGCTCTGCCTCCCCAGCACCCCCTTCCTTCCAAGGGGCGGGTGGCAAGCCATGTTCATATCTACACCTTTCCAACGGGCGATAACAGGAGGGGACGGGCGATAACAGGAGGGGACGGTGGGGAGGAAGGGCTCCCACACACGGCCTCGCCCACTGCACCCCTCCTGTCACTTTTGACTGCCTCCTGTTCCTCCAAAGTGACAGCCTGGTTGGGGAGAAGGGGAGCTGGGGGAGGACAAGGCTGTGACTTTGTTTCTGAGCATAAGGAAGAAAATAAACCTTTTACTAGGCCGCAGTGTGTGTGTGTGTGCGCGCGCACTGCCATGGGTCAGAGTGTTCGGCACACTCCTTGCTGCTTTCCTGCACCCACAGGGCAGCGGACACACAGGCCGTTAATAAATGTTTATTGAATGGCCGTGCTGGGCCTGTGTTCCAAGATAAACACTGAGCCTTGATTTGGTCAGTTCAGACTCAAGGGCACTGCTTGGTTAAAACCACAAAGTCAACGCACCCGTTTTATAGGGGGAAATAATAAGTAAGTCGGTGGCTGACTGGATGCTGCTGGCCAGCTGGGCAGGGCAGAGCGGGTAACCCCCGTGACCACACTGCAACCTGCTGTGACCCACGGCATGTGCTGCGGCAGCCTGGTCGTGAGCTGGTGGTAGGGGGGTGGCCACATCTGCAGGTCTCACCCAAGCCAGAAGTCACATGACCCCACCGTGGAGAGTCTGGGACTTCCACTCTGACGCAGGAGCCAAGGCTTGGGGCCAGCCCAAGTTCCAGGGACGGCAGCTCCGGTGACAGTCATTGAGGACTTCCCCAGACTTGGCAGAAGCCCCAGGCTGCACACAGCCAGCCTGAGCTGGACGGAGGCAGCCACGTTCCAGGGGACTTTTGCCAGCGCCTTCTTCCACCCCTGCTGCCCAGCCCACTCTGCTTTTCCTTTTAAAGCACTTGAGTCCCTACTGTGTGCATTAGACTTAGCAGTAACAGCAAAACAAGCATGAAGTCACTCCTTGCTGATGACTCCATTACAACTACAATTGTGCACCTGAGGGCCTGCTGCAGTAGCCTAGTGGCTAAAGTTCTCGACTTGCACTCACCATGATCCCATATGGGCACTAGTTCATATCCCAGCTGCTCTACTTCCTATCCAGCTCCCTGCTTGTGGCCTGGGAAAGCAGTTGAGGATGGCCCAACGCCTTGGGACCCTGCACCCATGTGGGAGACCTGGAAGAGGCTCCTGACTCCTGGCTTCAGATTGACTCAGCTCCAGCAATTGCAGCCACTTGGGCAATGAATCTGCAGACGGAAAATATTTCTCTCTGTCTCTCTTCCTCTCTGTATATCTGCCTTTCCACTAAAAATAAAACTATATGCATTTTTTTTAATTAAAAAAAAAAAAAAAAACAGAAGTCCTAGGGCTTCAGGGACACGTGAGAGGCAACCCTGACGGGGGCTGGCAAGCACTTGGAAGATTTCCCTGGAGGACATGACCTTTAGGTGCAGAACTGAAAGAAGCAGGACGTGGGGTGGGGAGAGGAGTCTGCAGGGGACAGTACCTCAGTAAGGGCATGGTCACGTGTAAAGAGGAAGGGCAGGGTCCTGCCATGATAGCCTAATGGTTAAAGTCCTTGCTTTGCATTCACCAGGATCTCATGTTTGTGTGCCACTTTCCATCCAGCTCCCTGCCTGTGGCCTGGGAAAACAGTCGAGGATGGCCCAAAGCCTTGGGACCCTGCACCTATGTGGGAGACCCAGAAGAAGCTTCTGGTTCCTGGCTTCAGATGGGCTCAGCTCTGGTCCTTGTAGCCACTTGGGGAGTGAACCAGTGGACACGAGATCTTTCTGTATCTCCTATGTATCTGCCTTTCCAATTGAGAAAAAAAAAAAAGGAAGGGCAGGACAAGGGGACTGAACGGCTGGAGGGACTGGGGCAGGCACAATAATGAGGCTGTATGACGCATATGGGGCAGTTTACGCAGGCCTGTGCCCTGTGTGACAGCTAATGACATCACTATTTACCCACAGGCATAAAGACACTGACGACCCGGTGTCCCCTGCACATGCTGGACTGTCCTGTGTGGTGGAGCCATGCCCTCCACTCCAGCACCCAGCCCACCTCCCAGGATCCCACTCTTTACCCCTCAGCCCAGGTGGGTGAGGATGCCGGGGCCAGCTCCACCCTTGCGGATTCTGAAGCCTCAACAGCAGACTACACATTGGGGCTTTTCGAATGAGCACACATTTGGACAACAAGGCCTTTGGTTTAGAGATTTTTAAAAAAGTTTTTTAAAGACTTATTTTTATTGGAAAGATAGATCTACAGAGGGAAGGAAAGACAGAGAAAGATCACCTGTCCCCTGGCTCACTCCCCAAGGGATCACAACGGCTGGAGTCAAGCAGAGTGGAAGAAAGGAGCCAGGAGATTCTTTCAGTTCTCCCACTCAGGTGCAGGGTCCCAAGCCTTTGGGCCATCCTCTACTGCTTTCTCAAACCTCAGGCAGGGAGCTGGATGGGAAGTGGATGGGCAGCCTCAGAACTTTTGGAACTATATCATAAAATAACTTTGTTTTTGTTTTTGAAGAGAGAAAGAGACATTGTTCACCAACTGGTTCACTCCAACAGCCAGGGCGGACAACAGCAAGGACAAGCCAGGCATGTGGGTCTCCCTCATGGGTGGAAGGGGCCCAAGACCTTGTACCATCTTCTGCTGCTTTCCCAGGCCATTCGAGAGGATCTGGATCAGAAGTGGAATAACTGGGTCTCAGACTGGCCACATATGGGATGCCAGTGTTGCAGGCTAAAGATGAGACTGCCTGTGCCATAGCACCAACCCCTTCTCCAGGTATCTTCAATAATGCCGCATTTTAAAAAAAATTAATGTAGGACCTGGTGTGATAGTTTAGTGGCTAAAGTCCTCCCCAGGATCCCGTGTGGGTGCTTGTTCTTTTTTTTTTTAAGATTTATTTTTATTATTATTATTATTATTTTTATTGGAAAGGCGGATATACAGAGAGGAGAGACAGAGAGGAAGATCTTCCGTCCGATGATTCACTCCCCAAGTGAGCGCAACGGCCGATGCTATGCCGATCCGAAGCCAGGAGCCTCTTCCGGGTCTCCCACGCGGGTGCAGAGTCCCAAAGCTTTGGGCCGTCCTCGACTGCCTTCCCGGGCCACAGGCAGGGAGCTGGATGGGAAGCGGGGCTGCCGGGATAGAACCGGCGCCCATATGGGATCCCAGGCGTGCAAGGCGAGGACCTTAACCACTGCGCCACCGCGCCGGGCCCAGGGTGCTTGTTCTTGACCCAGCTGCACCACTTCCCATCCAGCTCCCTGCTTGTGGCCTGGGAAAGCAGTTGAGAATGGCCCAAAGCCTTGGGACTCTGCACCCGCATGGGAGACCTGGAAGGAGCTCCTGGTTCCTGGCTTTGGACTGACTTAGCTGCAGCCACTGCAGTCACTTGGGGAGTGAACCAGCAGACAAAAGGTTTCTCTGTCTCTCCTTCTTTCTCTAAATCTGCCTTTCTGATAAACATAAATAAATCTTTTTTAAAAAAAATTGATCTCCTGTACACCCGGGCCCTCAAGTCCTGACAACCGCTCCACGCCCCTGGCCACGGCCCTCCCCGCTCCCACCCTGCTCACTGAGGAGCTGCCTTGCTGTGCTGAATGGCATCTCCTCTCTCGCTCAAAGATGAGGCAATAAGGAGGGAATGATTTCAGTTCCCCATCTTCTCATGCTCAACACTGACATCTACACCAACTCTCCCACACAGCTGGGCTCACAAGGCCTTCTTCCTGTACTGTATAAATGTGACTTCCAGCACCTGAGTTCAGCTGGCTCCCTCCCACCTCACTGAAGACCTTGATTCATCCAACCACCACCCTCTCTTCACTCCCAGTGTCTCTCTCCTGGCTCTGCCTTCACTCTGCCTTCACGGGTACATAAACCATACATGTCTCCCTGCACTGAAAGGCGGGAGAATGGAGAGAGTGGGGAGGAAGCCAGAGAAAAGAGCTCTCCCCTTGGAAGTCTTTCTAAGAGAAGGACGAAGGGCTGTCAGACAGTGGGTGCAGGGGGTTGGGCACCTGTGACAGCAGACCAGATGTCACTTGGGATATCCACATCCCGTAGTGGCACGCCTGCATCTAAGTTGCAGCCTGATCCCCTTTGCCAATTCCTGCTAACATGCACCCTGGGAGGCAGCAGGTGACGCTAGCTCAAGTGGTGGGTAGATAAACACTTGGGAGACCTGGACAGATTCACGTTCCCTGGGTTCTGAAAGTATTTGAGGAAATGGACCAGCAGATGGAGCTCTCACCGCCTCGCAAATAAATAAATAAATAAACAAAGGTGGAAAAACTGGAATGAAAACATTGTTTACTTGGATGCAAACAATTTTGAAATCCAGTTATGTTGATAATACACACTTTCCATGAATTTTAGGAGGCCCCTGGTATGGTTCTATTTCCTCTCTCATGTTTCATTTCTTATTGACCTTTGACTTTCAAAGTTACACATGAACACAGCTGAAGGAGTCAGCACTTCGAGAGATGTGTTAGAACAAGTGGGCTCTTCTTTGTCCAGTATCTTTCTCCCCAGAGGCAATTACCTTTACCTCCCTTAAAAAAAAAAAAAAAAGCACTTTACATGCAGAAAACCAGACAAGAAATCTTCCATCCATTCATTGGTTCACTCCCCAAGCACCCTCAAGACAAAACCAGGAGCCCCAAAGTGAATCCAGGTCTTCCACATAGGGGTCAGATGCCAAGCCCTTGAGCCCTCATATGCTGACTCTCAGGGTGTGTGTTAGCAGGAAGCTGGGTGAGGCAGCAAGCATTGGGACTTGAACCCAGATATGCTGATCTAGGATGTGGGCCTCCCCCATGGCATTTACACTGTGCCACACACCGATGCCTCGATGCTTCTTTGGCTACCTCTTGGTCTTTGTCTGCAGCATCGCTGACCAGCTTACTACCACACACATGAGCACGGGGCTCACTGTTGCCCTCTGTCCCTACACAGAACACTTTCCATGCTGCCCCACATATATACACCCAGGAAAGTGATGTCAACTGGTCTACCATGCTTAGGCAAGTGTTATTTAGAGCTGAGTCATACAGAATGTTGTGATTACCTTTCTCTTCTTGCACAACTTTGTGTGTTCCTTGAATAACCACCATGTAAAACAGTTCTTCATTCCCTCAGTGTATCACTAATTCAGCCCGACACTGTTCTCTAAAAAGTCACATCCTGTGATCCATTCAAAACAAAACATGTTCATCTC